AGGTAACCTGTCAGGTGAGAAAAATTTCTTTGAAAAAATCAAGTGGCGTTTGTTTTTCTCGGCGTCAGTCACGATGGGGAGTAGCAGCGGCCTGAAACGGCACCGGCGATACAATTTTCGATAAAATGCACACTATCCGATCTAAAATATGTATGTGGTGGTTTGTGAAATATTGTTCAAGACTCAAAAGCCCCCATATAAACAAAATTTTGCCAAAAAATCTGTAATTTGAGGTAACCTGTCACGTGAGAAAATTTTCTTTGAAAAAATCAAGTGGCGTTTGTTTTTGACATTTCTGGGCGTCAGTCACGATGGGGACTAGCAGCGGCCTGAAACGGCACCGGCGATACAATTTTCGATAAAATGCACATTATCCGATCTAAATTAGGTAGGTGGTGGTTTGTGAAATACTGTTCAAGACTCAAAAGCCCCCATATAAACGAAATTTTGCCAATTTGAAGAAATTTGAAGTTACCTGTCAGGTGAGAAACGAGAGCCGCGGATTTTGGGCCAACGAAAGGGACCTACCTAAAATAGAAATAATACTTATCTGATAACATAAAAGAGCAAGATGGTAAGTCGTCAAGTGTCGTTTAGGACTTTAAGAGTCCCAAATAAAGAATGTCTAATTTGAGGTTATGAGTTATGACGCATAGACACAGATTACTAGCAGATTGGACACTTTTACAAACCACAGATTATCTATTTTACAACAGATACGTCACTCTTCTGAATTAAAATAAATTCGGCGTCGCCGTGACCTCGGTGGTCGACTGTGATTGGCTAACCCAAACTTATGCCGTATTTATGAAAGATTTGGATTAGCTTATTTGGTGCGATTGTTGGTACTAATGCATATGTTGCCAACCGAATCCCCTAAACTTTTACTTCGTGCTTAGTAAAATGTGTAACACAACCTTAAAATTGTTTATTATAAGATTATAAAATGTGTTCATAAGTGTTTAATTACACCATTAAAATAAATTAAACGAAATTTGCTGCATTTTWAATAGCTTCCAGTAAATGGTTAAGATAAAAATTGTCTTTCTATTTTTGATTACAATTTTGTTTAATTAATAGCCGCTACATTTTTCAAATTTAACGAAACCTCACAGCGCGCTACTATAGTCTGTGCTTTATTGCCATGATAACTGACATTTAAATACGCACTATTCAATGTAAAAAATGTGAAAAAATTGATAAATTTTTAATGTTTTTTTTTTATTTAACTAATTTTTATGTATTTTTTTTTGGTGTTTTAAATATATACCAGGTGAATAAAAAGTATGGAACTAAGCGTTTTTTTCGTAAACTAACCACTTTACGACAAAAAATAGTGTAGCGTAAAGTACAATTAAAATGTTTCAAAGATAACATTTTTTCTAAATTTATTTATTTATTTTATAAATGTTAATTTAAAATTCAACAATGAAATCTAATGTCAAAGATGTAATTTTTATCATCTAGACGATAAAATGTCATTTTAACATGAAGAAAAGAGTAGATGAAATTCAATTTTAACATAGAAGATTGAATAAAAGATATATGTGTAGAATAAAAATAAAAACCCAATAATATGAGCCATACTCGGGGGCGAAGCCCCCGCGACCCCTATCGGGGGCGCAGCCCCCGTAAGCCTTACCCGGGGCTCCAATCTGATGTGACCTAAACATTATTTTACACGGTCGAAAAGACACTTTGCTGAATAAAAATAAAAGTCTTAATGAAATCCAACAGGATTTGACCAGATGCGAATGTATTTTCTTA